TATATATATATATATATGCTGTATTTGTATTATTCAGCATATATATATATATATAACACAATAACTTAAAATAAATCATGTTTTAAAAATTTTATTTTAGGATTTTTATCAGCATATGGCAGTTAAAAAAAATATTTGTTTTGATATTAAATCATTTTGAACATGATTTTGCTTTTTAGTCTCTGATTGCTGCCATAGTACTGTTTAACTTTTTATTTTAAACTTTGACAGTTCCATTGTGTCTTAAAATTTTAATTTTTTGGTGCTAACTTATTAAGAATTCTCTTAAATCTAGTCGTAAAATCTAGAGTTTTTTTCCACAAAATTTTATTTAATTTTTAAGTATTTAAATTGCTCAAAATGCCTCTCTAAGTGTTGCAATCAAAAATGAGCCGTGATTGGTTATGATAACACTTGAGCGTATTATATATCTGTCTTCTTAATCCGCAAAGACTTTACAATGCTTTTTCAATTTTAAGTTCACATTAATCTTTAAAATTGTTTTTTGATAGTTTGAAATTTTTTGAGTTTAAACTGTTGAGAGTATATGTAAAATGGAAGTACGTTTCCATAAAGCTGAGTTGGATATCGGGAAAATTACCAAAAATAAAAAAACCCAGTTATTACAGGCTAATTATACAGGGTGCATAGCGATTTTAAAAAGTGCTTAAAGGTGCTTATTTTCGATTTTCGTTTTTTAAAGGCTATTAAAAGTGCTTTTTTCACTAGGTGTTTTTAAAAAGTGCTTAATTTTCCCTTTTTCCAAATGAGATTTTTCCTTTACTATGCTGATTTTTGCTTCAAATTATGCAAAAAAGACACAGTTCACATTGTTCTATTCAACGTTTTCATAATTAATATGAAAACGTTAACCCCAATTGAACCCCAATCTATTTCGGGGTATAGTCAGTCCGTAGCGTATGAAAACACCATTCGTTTTACATGATTCAAAATTTCATGAATTTTGACAATTGTCAAAAACAATGTCAAAAGGTTTTTTTTCTAACATGACGATTAAAACAAGATAATACCATTGATTGTCAAACTTTCCAACTCTGCCTAGTTATGATATATTTTTAAAGTGCTTAAAAATGTTTTTTGAGCGCTTGAAAAGTGCTTATTTTTTGTTGAATAATTTGGCTACGCACCCTGTTGCATTTTTTTGGGCTGAAACCAGAAATGTGAAAGCTCAAAGATATGAATAAGTATAATAAAATAGCCATAGGTTAAAATAATTTTCAATTATAGTCTAGCTATTTAATTTAATGATAATCAGTGGTGGATTAGATTAAATAGTTATAGGTAAATATCAGAGACTAATGAATTAAGCATTTAGTATCACCAAATAATTAAAAAAAAAATCAGCACTCGAAAGAATCTAGTCATTGAAAAATATTGGTCTTATATTACTGCAATGTATGTGTCAACTCTCAAAGTTTTACTTGATGCAACTCAATTTATCGATATAATTTCAGCAAATCATTAAACTAGCAGTTTTTCTTTCACTAAAGTTTAAAGATTAAAAAAAAAAAAATTCTCATGTGAATCTAAAATACTTACTAATGCAATCTTTTTTGAATTTTGTGTTAAGTATTTAAGTAGACAGTAATGCTCATATCTATTCTCAACTTTTTTATTCTTAAATAGTAATCTTGCTTTGGCTAGAAATTATTTTTAAATGCATTTATAAAATTATTATGACTTTCTTTTTGTAATATAGCATTAACAAAATATGATTATTGTTGATTCTCTAAATAATAAATTCTTTTAGTGCTTGCAAAGAATACTTAAAAAAAATTAATACATATTCAGACGTGCCAACCTAGCAAAATTAAAATTCAGGAGTTTCCGTAACAAGAATTCAGGAGATTTCAGGAGGGGTAAAAAAAGGTGTATAGTATGCAACATTTAACACTTCTAATGAATTTTAAGTAAAAAATTTATTAAATAAGAATCCAAGAAATTTTACACACTAACAGGCCACAAATTGTGGAAGAGTATTAAATGGAAATAAAATATTTAAACACAGGTTCAATCCATTAGCTCATTTTTCCTTTACATTTCACAAACATAGCAACACAAAAATATATTGGGTAGATTTTCTTTATAAAACATTATTCAAAAACCCTTGACACTGTAATAAAAATGTACAAAAACTTTTAAAAAATAAACAAATTGAAGAGCTATTTTATTTTAAAAAACCAATTTAATACTAATGTATGTTTAAAAAATTTAACTAAGTTAAAAAAAAATGATGTAAGGCAAATAAAATCACTCAAATTGTTAAATGCTTTTTTTCTTCAAAAAATATAGAAATTCAATGAAACTTAAGAAGGTTATTTTATCAACAAATCGTAAATCACGTTTTAGTAAACAAAATAGTTTACAACAGTATGTTGCCAATGGTTGAAAAAAAACAAAACAATCCAACTGTTGCCAAACCATTGAAAAATACGCAGTAAAAATTATAAAAACAGTACGATACAATATCGTTTCCAACTATTGATATTGCATCCCCTCCCCCGCTCTTCCACTGACGTCACTTGATATCATCATGTGATGTCATCACATTAAACTCCACAGGAATAGGAGAGGAAGAAGATTCCTACCAATCCTACTGGAAGGGGGCGGGTCAAATAGGAGTGGTAACATTGAAGATGGGGGAAAAAATGAAGCACGTGCAGCTACGTTTCAGGCAGATGGTAGTTCGATAAGAGGGATTGAAATATTATAAGGGGGAATGGGATTCACGTGGAAAGAAAAACGAAATTTCCGCACTCGCTGAAAAAATCAGGTAATTTTGAGTTTGGGCGTCGATTGAGGTAAAATTTGGGAGTTTTTTTAATCAATTCCGGAGGGCGGGAGAATAACACAAAATTCGGGAGACTCCGCAAAATGCGGTAGAGTTGGCATGTCTGCATATTACTTCAAAAAATAAATAAGTGAAAAAATTAGTTATCCCTGTTGTCTAAACAAAAGTCTATTCATAGTTTTTAGTTTAATAATTATGTCAGTAATTTAAATTCACAGAAGTAAACATATTAGAATTTTAATTTAATACCCAGTTCATTAATGGGAATAAATATCATTGCATTGCTTAGTTGCTGAAAAAAATGTTTCTAAATTCACAAAACAGTCACTTATGTTCATTTTCAATTTCATTCATTCTATTGTTAAAACTCAAAGACAGGGATGAGATTTTTCCGCTTTTTTTACTTTTGTCTCTTGAATTTCAGCCTTTTTGTCAAAAACTCTGATTATCTAAAAGTTTCACATTTTCTTATATTTTTTTTAATTATAAATATTTTGCTTTTTTGAAGAATTTAGCCTGTGAAATAAAATAATTATATTTATTTCTGATTTTCAAAGATGAACAGAAAATTCAAACTACATATCTGCCAATCCTTCCACATTTTTACATTTTAGTTATTTTCGCTGCTTTCACGTGCAGAAGATAAGATTTTCCACATTTTTACCCACCCGCCAGATAGTTCGTATTTTTGTCATTCAGATGTCGCTGCTTCAAACGAGCTTTTTAAAAGTCTCTAGCCCGGAATTTGCTCATATTTCAATTCTTATTCACATGATTTGAATATCGTACATTGTGATTCTTATTTACGAGATTTGAAAATCCAATATCACTATTTGTTCTCACGCGTTTTTAAAAACCTATGTAGCAATTCGTATTCACACGAGTTTAAAATCAATTATCGCGATTCTTGTAAGAAGTGAGTTTTTAAAAAAAATTAGTTACTATGAGGGACTGTTTTTCTATCGATAGTTAGTATATATAGGCATATTCAAAACTTACATTCTGTGTAAAGAAGAATGTGACAAAGGCAGGTAAAGAAAGAAAAAATAGGATTTGTCAAAAGATGTTTGGTGATTAATTTAGTCGTTAGCCCATCCTCAATCTGTTTCCCCTCATTCACAAGCTGCATTACGAGAAATTTGCCCTTGTTAAAGGAGTTTTTTGCTGGTTTTGTAAAACATGAAGCAGTTGCAGCAAATTAAGCAAATAAAAAAATATATATATAGTGAACAAAAGCAATCACTTAAAAAGTTATTCAATTTTTTGTGGAAAATGAGTTGATTAACTCAGCACCAAAATTAAAAAATAATGCTGCTGTTATTTGTGGTATAAAATGCGAAATTCTTATCATATGAAAAATAATTATCCAAACAGTTGCTGATTATCATGTAATTTTTTCAAACTAAAATAGTAATTTTTGTTTATTATCTTAAATTGTCTGGAATTTATTATTAAATGATTGCATGCTGTAAAACTTACTCACGTGGAAATTCTGGTTTTTTGCCTTTTGGCTAATCTCATCCCTGCAAAGAGTATTGCACATCTTTTCATTTTGAATAAAATACAGTTTCGAAGAGGTAAAGAGAACTAATTTAACTTTAAAACTCTGAATCTACCATGCTCGAAAGGACAGGAGTGTGAAAAATTTTTAATCAGGAAATTTATGCAAAAATATGAAAAAAAATTCATTTATTTATTTTAAAAAAATATTGTGTGTGGTAAATTTTTTTTAATGTTTATGGAACGATGAAAGAACATCTATGGGATTGCAACTATCACTGGCAAATTGGCATTTCCTGGCTATTTGTTGTGTTATCTTCAGAATGTATTCTCTTATTGATAATATATTTTGGAGTTATTATTGATAATATATTTGGGAGGAGGTAAAGAAAACTAATTTAACTTTAAAACTCTTAATCTACC